AGAACAACACTTTGGCATCTAGGCTAGATGAGAGTGTTCCTGGCCGTAAGGTAAACAAAGAAAAAGTTTCTGCCATGCTGTGTGCAAATGCAGACGGAAGTCACAGAACAAAGTCCGCCATTGTGGGGAAGTCAAAAAACCCACGTGCTTTGAAAAATTTAATGAACAAGCTACCTGTGGTCTACTACAGCTCTAAAACAGCTTGGTTTACTGGAGATATTTTTGTAGACTGGTTCAAAAATAATTTCTGCAAAGAAGTTAGAGATTTTCAGATAAAGAAGTGTGGAGTGAGACGGAATGATGTCAAGGCATTACTCTTGGTTGACAATGCCCCAGCTCATGTAGGGCTCGACAAATTAACGTCACATGATGGACGCATCAAATGTATGGCCTTGCCTCCCAATACCACCTCTCTGATCCAGCCAATGGATATGGGTGTTATATATGCAATGAAAAGGCTCTACAAACGAGAAATGAATAAAGAAATCATGGTGGTGTTTGAGTCAGATGAAGACAAAAGACAAGGAACCGATTCGCGAGGTCAAGCAACACTGGAACGTTACCAAAAATACTCAATTAAGGAAGGCATTTACAACTGGGCTAAAGTTTGGGATGAAGTTCAAGAGTCAACATTAAGAAATTGTTGGAAAAAACTCCTGTTGCTTGATCATGCTGATGAAGTGACTGAGGAAGAAATGGATTTTGAAGGATTTTCAAATGATATTTATCAAGAACTGCGTGCCGCTGGTGAGACGGAGTTGACGCTGAACGATGTGGAGGAGTGGTTAGATATTGATGCAGTCGATCCACCCATTGGTCATTTAACAGATGATGAGATTATACAAAATGTTACTGGCACTGTTGACGACGACGGAAAGGAAGATGAGGATGAGAATGATAGCAGTTTACAATCTGCTACGTGTGCTAACGCATTGTTCCATGTTGAAAAACTCCTTGATATTGTTTCACAAACTGACAATCCAGAGCTACCAGGCTTTTATCAACACCTAAGGACGATGAAAGATATTTGTCTCAAGGACATGACACAAAGAAGGAAACAAATGAAAATGAGTCAATATTTTTCACGAACTAGCAGCAAATCAATCAGCACAGCCGTACCCGGCACCAGCACAGCCGTTCCCAGCACCAGCACAGCCGTACCCAGCACCAGCACAGCCGTACCCAGCACCAGCACAGCCGTACCCAGCACCAGCACAGCTGTACCCAGCACCAGCACAAAAGCAGCTGAAGCCAACACAGCAGCAGCGAGCACCAGCAAAGCTGATGCAAATATCTAAAAACATCGTGTGTGAAGTGAACAATTAGAATAAGTGTTAAATTTAAGTGTGTACATAGTGTTAAAATTAAAGTTGCAATAATTCTAATGTACAATAGTTTTCAAGAACTGTATTGTAGTACTCAACATACAGCAAAACCACTTTTAATAATACAGTGCTAACGGCTTAATGCACTGCAGTACCTATTTACTGTAGAGCATTCACAACTTCACAACACTTCAAGATGGACATAACTCCAACAATAAGGTAAATACATGAATTACAGTATTTTTAGTAGAGTAGTAAAATATAGGTACAGTAAGTAATATGATACAATGCATTTTTATTGTGTACAAGAAAAAAAAAAAACTGACGCAAACGCCTCTTGAAGGTCACCTCTTGCAACGAATCCAACGCTCCAACGAACTGGGGGTGGTCCCATATAGTACGTTGAATCGAGGTTGTACTGTAATGGTCCTGAAAAAGCAAGAAAGGACAAGACAACCCGATGCAAGAAAAAGGCGAAAAGAAACGCCAGGAAACTAAATACTGTCGCCAAGACGAAGCTCACTGGTGGGACACCATCAACGAAGCCATCTGATCACCATAGAGATGGTGATAGACCTGCGTCAAAAGACCAGGCATGAAGAGCTGAGGAGAAGGCTGAACCAGCCATGTACCGGATATCCGATCTGCCAAAAGAGGCGGAGCTGCGGAAAACACAGCATCGCCTAAAAATGCCATAATATACGTGTTCATGCTATTATGTAGCGATGATATTATTACAGAAGACCCCTGACTGATAAAACTGACTAGGGTTCTGATAATAGCAGGATTGTGGTGATATTTCGCGCTGTATTGGGAGGAATAATCTTGGTGGGGAGGGAGGTAACATTGTCTGCCGACTCTGTGTGACCACTTTTTACTGTCTGGACTCACTATACCAGCTTAGTTGTTCGTTATGGTGAACAAAACATGCAGATACTTATATATAACGTCTGTATATAAAAGCAAAAACAGTATGGTGGGAGGAGAATATTGGCGAGTCAGGTGAGGTGAGGGAGGGGGAGGAAGTGGCAGCCAGTGGCGGGCTGCCACTGGCTGCCACTGCCACTACCACTCAGCATACCAATTTAGTGGTTCGTTATGGTGAACACGAATGTAGATACTTATATATAACGTGTATATACAGTGTAATAACAGCAAAAGGAGTGTGGGGAAGAAGCCAATTTGGTGATGGGGGTGGCAACATCTGCATGATTTGTCATGTTGGTAGGGGTGACCACTATGCTCTTTGGGCATTATACCGGCTTAGTTGAACAGTTATGGTGAACAAAACATATAGATACTTATATATAACATCTGTATATAGGGTAATAACACCACAGTATTGTTGGGGGTGAAATTTTAGTGCATCTGACCTTGAATGTGTGAGGGAAGCAGCCGCCAGCTGACTGTGTGTAGCGACGTCTCTTATTGCCTGAACTAACTATATCAGCTTAGTTGTACAGTTGTGGTGAACAAAACATGTAGATACTTATATATAACGTCTGTATATAGTGAATAAAAGCAAAAACAGTATTATGAGAGGAGAATGTGGGTGAGTCAGGTGAGTTGAGGGAGGGAGGAAGTGGCAGCCAGTGGCAGGCAGCCACTGGCTGTCACTGCCACTCAGCATACCAACTTAGTGGTTCGTTATGGTGAAAACGAATGTAGATACTTATATATAAAGTCTGTATATAGTGAATAAAAGCAAAAACAATATGGTGGGAGGAGAATGTGGGCGAGTGAGGTGTTGAGGGAGTGAGTGGCAGCGAGTGGCTGGCTGGTGTGTGACGGTCACTCCTCGTTGCTTTTTGACTCATAATACCAACTTATGGTTCGTTATGATGAACAAAACATGCAGATAATTATATATAACCTGTGTATATAGTGTAATAACCAACAAAGTATTTGTTCACTGTTTGATGAACATAATAATTGAATCAACAATATGCACCACATAATTTTGAGTACAGCGATGATTCACTCATTTTATCATATAAATATATCACACTATTGAATAATATTACAGTGAAAAAACTAAGAAAAATCAGAGACATTGAAATAATTAGGTAATTATCTCTTTGTGGCCACTACTGCCTAACAGCTGGGAGCAATAGACCGTTTGGAACGCATGCTGAGTCAGCGCCTGTTTTTTTGCCAGACTTCCCAGCCCTATAGCAGCAAATATATGCCACTTACGATTTTTTTATTATTTTTCCCATGATCAGAGACCACAAATTAACAGGTTTAGAAGAAAATTTTTTTTTTTTTTTTTGGTATGCACCTGTGGGAAACAAATGCTAATTAGCCCTGAGCAACACAAGGGTTAAATATGCAAAAACTAGATGATAGAAGAAAAAGAGGCGATATGATCACTATGTAGAAAATAGTAACAGGAATCAATAAAATTGATAGGGAAGAATTCCTGAGACCCGGAACTTCAAGAACAAGAAGTCATAGATTTAAACTAATGAAACAAAGCTGCCTAAGACATATAAGAAAATTCCCTTTTGTAAACAGAGTGGTAGACGGTTGGAAGAAGTTAGGTGAGAAGGTGGTGGAGGCCAAAACCGTCAGTAATTTCAAAGTGTTATACGACAAAGAGTGCTGGGAAGATGGGACACTATGAACGTAGCTCTCATCCTGTAACTACACTTAGGTAATTACTAGGGAGCACACAGGGAAGAAAATCCTGTTCACATGTTGCTCCAAGCACCCTATACTCCTGGTTCACTCAGCACAAACATGCATTCGAACAACCTCAATGGCAAAGCAACCACTTAGCTGAAGCAGAACATGGGAGCCAGAACAAGAGAGAGAGCACCTCACACTGTCTACCACCATCAAGAACTGAGGGCGAAGCAGCTGGGTGACCTGGTCTGCCTTGACCCTCTGTCCCCAGATGATGGGAAAGAGGTGGGGCAAGCGAGCTTGCTCTAGTTTCATAACTTTTCGATTGTTTTTTACATTGTTGGGAAAGTTTTTTTTGGTAAGTTTGAGACATCTATATTTCCTTATAACCAGCAGTGGTCTGTTTTGTTTCCCTGACTTTGTTGGTTGCTTTCCTGGTGGTGGCAGACATGGTTAAAATTCACTGATAATTTGATCATAGTTCACTTCTCTCTTCACGTCTTTAGAGGGGACCAGGTTCAAACTCTTGGTTCCTAGTATACTTAAAAGAACTCTGCCATTGATGGCACCTAGTAGTTTGGCACTCTATCAACATTGTAGCTTCAGGAAGCCATAAGAGGCTTCCCCAGAATTGTACTCAAACCTTCTGTAATATTTTGTATCCATAAATAATGATGATGATGATGATGATGATGATGATGATGATGATGATGCCGATTCTGCTACTGCCGATGATGATGATGATGATGATAATGCCAATGCTGCTGCTGATGATGATGCCAATGATGATGATACCAATGATGATGATGCCGATGATGATGCCGATAATGAAAATGATGCTGCTGCCGATGCTGCTGCTGCAGATGCTGCTGATGTCGATGGCAATGATGATGATGATGATGATGGAAAATGAGTGGATTATAACCAGATCAAGTGAATATAAATAAATGGGAAACTCATAAGGTGTTGTCACTAAATAGGATATTTACAAAAAAAATAAAATCTGAGAAAGAAAATTGAGCACATGAGTACGGTGAGGCCACTTACCACCAGTAATGTGATGGTGCCCTGCAGGCTGGTGGCCCGTAGTGACCAAGTGGTGGGTCTTGAAGTGCGCAACACAAGTGTTATATTCCTTTCAACTCCTTTACCACCACCAATAGTGAAGCCTCGACCATCACCTTCACCATTACCAACTACAGCCAACACCAAGCTGCCGTTGCTGTTGCTGCTGCCATCGACTTCAATGATGTGGATGTCCCTGTAGGCAAAAGCAGCGATTTTAAAACATAGCTCAACTTTTACAGTGTTAGAAGTCTTATTCATGCAGCTCAGTACTTTTTTTGAGAATTCCCTCAAAGACAATGAACATTTTACAGTATAAAAACTTTCTCTCAATTTTAGGATATTTTTTAAATTCCACTGCTAGAAACTACTTCAAACATTTCTCAATCTGTTCAGTGGATGAAAAGGATTTGGAATATCACAGCACAAGCAATCCCCCCATGCTTTACTCTATAAGATTGTACATATATACTTGTAAATTTTTTTACTTTTTTTCTAGGGGGGAGGGGATTCCCTTCGACTCCCCGGAGCTATCTAGGCTGAAACGGAGAATAGCTTTGGGCATCAATGTACATGGAGTTCTAAGCCTACTGGGGACCAACGAGCCAGAACCTGGCCCTGTCAGAGAGGCGCAAGGAGCAATGGCCCATAGAGACACCTTATATATTTAACATAGAAGTACAGTGGCACCTCGACTTACGATTGCCCTGACTTACGATAATTTTGAGTTACGATGATAAATTTGATAAAAAATGCGACTCAACTTACAATAGTGTCGTCGACTAACGATATCTGTTGGTAAACATTTGGGTCGACCGAGTGCGTGGTTCCCGGTCACCCGCCTCAGTTTACTAGAGCTGCCTGCTTAGTGACGATCACGCCTATAAGAAATTCCATTTTGTGGTGATTTTTTGCTTTTTAAACATAAAATTGATCACTGAACATATAACTGGTCCCAAGAAAGTCAGTGGTAAGATTCAACCTAAGAAAATAGTTGTGAGTAGAAGCAGTAGAGGATGTCCCTTCCTCATTAAGAAAATGTGTGAAGTATGGGAAGAACTGCAAAGTTTTGTTGAAAAAACTCACCCAGATAAAGCTGTAGCAGGCCATTTGCACTGACCTTTAAATGACAATGTGATGTCTTACTACAGACAAGTGTTAAAATATAGGGAAAAACAAGTGTCTTTAGACAGATTCTTAGCAAGACAAGCAAGCAGTGAGCCACAAGCAGGTCCTAGTGGTATGCAGGCAAAACATGCCAGAGAGTGTATCCCAGAGAAGTCCTCACTGCCTGATGTTATAATGGAAGGGTACAACACCTTCCAAACAGTAACACCTCTCCTCTTCCTCCCCCTCATCACCATCTTCCATACACCATCAAGAGTTCTTCATAAAGGTAAGATAAACATATGTACTGTATTGTAGTTAGAGAAAAAAATTGTATTCAGTATAAAATTTATTTGTAAGTTAATATTTTGGAGGGTGGGGAACGGATTAATTCTATTCCCTTTATTTCTTATGGGAAAAATCGTTTTGACTTATGATATTTCTACTTACGATCCGTCTCTGTGAATGGATTACCTTCATAAATCGAGGCCCTCCACTGCACTCTATATCTGTCATCGACCGGGTCGGGCACCCAGAAAGATAAGCGCCCCCAAAACACGCACCCCCCCACCATTTCTGGTTAAGAATTGCTATTAAAGCCGAACAAATGGATAGAACTCCCCACAAAGAAAAAAAGAGCAAATGAGCATAACGTCATCTCATTACCAGCGTTGCTGTCTGTGCAATTCCCCCCTCCCTGGGAGGGGAAAGGGGAAGCCCCAGACCTTCCGCCGGCTACCCAAGCCTGTCAGTTCTTGGCTGATGTTGGTGGGCTTCAGTTGTGTACCTGCAGCTCCAGACTTCTTCTCTGATTCTTGCTCAAATTTGGTGGTGTGTGAGCTGGGAGTATATTCACAAGTCCTGGGGCTGCATGTGCTTAAGGTCCCCTTCCCTAAGCGCCTTGTAAGTACTGCCCTTGGGGCTTGGGGTCTCCTTCCACAAGTCGCCTTGGGGGCTGCCCCTGTTGTGTCATTTACAGCTCGGTACTTGTCCGCCCTTGGAGTCAGCTGGGGGGTTTCTTGCTCCTCTGTCTCTCGGTAGGGAGTAGTATTCATCACTGATAGGGGTGCAGGGTATTGCGCAGCTAGTTGTCACCTCACATAGCAGCCAGCTCTGCATCCTCTGGGTACGCTCTCCTTTTGCGAGAATTTTTGTATCTTTTTGTTCCTTTGCTTTGGCAAAGGAAAAAAAACATTCAACCCGGGGTCTGCCCTTGGGTTGGGTCATACCCTACATCTACGTATATACTTCGGTGGTACCCCCCGCTAGGCCCCCATGAGTGTACACATCCCGGGGGTGCAGTCTTAGAGGTTTGTTAGGTAGTTCTGGGAGCCAGTTAGTAGTACCCTGCCTGGGGCTTCCCTTAGAGGAGATTAAAAAGCTAAGGGCCCTGGAAAACCCTGCGGGGCTCTTGGGTCCAATGGATGTGTCTTCTGTGACTCTTCTCGCTTTGTGAGAGTTTGAGGGTTGCTCTGTCCCATTATCTCCAGGGGGACACTCACTCTTTCTGCCTCCTTCATGCTGCCTGCAGGGTTGATGACACTTACGACCCAGAGTCCTGCGAGTTCTGTTGTTTGTTGGTGACTCAGGTTTCAGGTTTCACACTGTATTACACATTCAGTACTTCAGAAGTGAGTAATAATCAATGAAGTAGTCCATGGTGCACAGCGCAGCTTCGCTCTCGTTGCACCAGGTACAGATAGATTTTCGCTTCCTGTTTTTCTTTTTGTGTGCTTGCAAATAATGCACTCATGTACACCCTTTAATACTTTAGGCTTTAATACTTGTAGGTTGTATGTAGCCAAGCTTGTAAAGCATAAGGTAGTATTGAAAAGAATATAGGAAAAGATCAATTTGTAAGGTGGTCTTGAAAAGATTGCTTTGTAAGGTCCCACACAGGAAGAGATTCAGCAAGCCTCAAAGAGTATCCGCCGGTCAGGAAGAGATTTTTTTTTAGATATACACAGTTGTTACATTTTTGTACAGCCACTAGTACACGTAGCGTTTCGGGCAGGTCCCTGGAATACAATCCCTGCCACGAAGAATCGTTGTTACAACCAAGTACCCATTTTACTGTTGAGTTAAACAGAGGCTACAGTTAAGGATTTGTGCCCAGTAAATCCTCCCCGGCCAGGATACGAACCCATGACAAAGTGCTCGCAGAACGCCAGGCGAGTGTCTTACCACTGCACCACAGAGACGGAGATTCAGCTATTCTTGAAAATATCTATGGAAAACACCACCATGGAAGCTGCTAACACTGTTCATCTGCCTTTTCCTTTATGATATTTGTATCAGATGCATTATCACTGAATGCAGAAAACGAATCATCTATGTATCATTTATATAAATTAGATAGCATAGGTGGGCAAGGGTGGTGCTCAGAGCTACAACTGGATATGCTCGCTGTATCATCCTCATAGGAGCTGTATCACTTGCAAACGACCTTTGTGTTATGTCCTTATTGCGACCAGCTTCACCAATATTATGACCCTTATGTTCTTCAAACAATAAGGTTTGAGTTTCACTGACAGAATGTGATCTTTCAACACCACATCGGACAGGTATTTGGGAGCCAGAGGCGCGTGCACCACCCATGGTTGCTCACTCAGTACTAACCCAGCCAGCAGCCCTAGGGCATTCTGGGATTTTTTTCCAAGATGGCTGCCTCTCATTGGAGGTCCTAAGAGTCCATTTCGTACACAACCATCCTCGCATACATTTAGAATGAGTACGAAAAAATCAAAAAGAGTTTTCTAGGTAGGCGGTATTCTTGGTTTCCCGTCGACCAAGATTACTCGATTGGCGCAGTTAAGTGGTTAATGAAGAAAATTCTAAATTATCATTAATAAAATATTTTGAAACAATTGTTATTAACCCTTTAACTGTGCAATGAGCCTGCAGGCCCAGGCTTTTGGTGCGCAACGCGCCTCCAGGTATTTGTATTTTTCACATTCCATTCAAAACTCCCACGGCTACATGGGGGTTCACATCAGCTTCCTCAGGGCTCTTGTAAACAGACGCCATGTTACGGACCCGAGTTCAGCGTCGTAGCACAGAGCAGTGACGACAACACCATCTGTGAGTCAGCTCCTGAAACCCCCTCCAAATGGACGACGCCATCTAGTGAGGACGGGATATACCGGCCACAGGTGCTGGATTCCCGTCTTAATCAGCTCGTGACATAGCTGCTGCTTACCTCTGGTGAGGTGGTGCTTAGACAGCAACACCATCTATGGAGTGGATAGGTGGGGGTTTGTGTCTAAGCCTGTAAGTGAGGTGCCCTAGAGTGTCCCCAGTACTAATGGCGTGTCTGATTACAGAGTCGACCTGGGACTGCTGTATTGGACGTTGGGGCAGTCTACCCAAGGCAGCCAAAGTCTCTCCACGTGTTTGCTGCAGAAGCTGTGAGTCACCCCCGGATGAACACTGTTGAGTGTGTTAGCCTGCCTGTGACGTGGCAGTACCAGGAATCGTCTTATCTGGGGACTGGCTGGTGGAAGAGACTAGCCACTGTGGTGTGGAGAGAAGAGGAGAGTGATCTGCTGAATCACACGAGGCTCCTGCCTAGAGCTCGCAACCCTAGTATCGATCGTGGAGTGGTCTACACAGCGGAGCTGATCGGAACCTGCCAGCTACAGGCTGGATTTGTGGTTGAAGGCCTCCACGACGGTGCACCCAGTGGGACTGTGATTTGGCTGGCCTGTGGCCAGGGTAGATTCGCCGAGAGAATCAGAGGATTCATCGTGGGCCACGACGAAGAGAACCAGGGCTACTCATCTTGAGCACCGTGGAGCATCCTGTGTCTTCAGAGGAAGACTAATCTGTATATAATAAGTGTAGTTATAGCAACCCCGCGTGTGACTGTGATATATTTATTTATGGTGGTGGTAGCAATATATATACAAAAGCAGTGCATTTGTATTCAGTTGCGACCCAATAGGGCCGTAACACGCCATCTTTAAAAAAAATCGTGGTCCACATTCCCGGGTGTGGGAGCCTCAGTAGTGAGTGAGCATCCAAGGCACTCACAGTATGAGCAGCACTCACAGCACTTGCAGTATGAGCGCACAGCACTGCTGTTCAGCG